ATTTTCATTCATTGTCAGCTTGAGGCAACGATAACGTATGCTGAATAATGAGGAGTGGTCTCCAAAATGTTCACTCAGTAGCTTTATTGTGTCATCAAAACACTTGTCACATGGTTTTTGGGGTAAAATTAGGTTGCAGTACCGTTCATATTCTGCCGGACCCAATTTACGTAGCAAAACTCGCACCTTCCAGGTATCGTCTTGCGAGGCGAGATCAACAGTGAATAAATCCTCATAACGTTGATACCATGTGTCAAAAGTGACATTAGCCTCTGGGTCATAATTGAACTGTGAAATGCTGTTCACAATTCCGTCGACAGATGGTAGCATGGTATGATTGGGATTGCTTGAAGGTGGAGCTGGACCAGTCTGTTGGTTGACGAACATTTCCATTAATTTCATTTGTCGTTCAAACAATAATTCCAATTTAATAGGATCCATAGTAAATTGTTATGTTGCTGCTGCTGTGTGGTTAATAGTAGTTTTTCCCCGTCGCCAAATTGTTATATACTAGTTTTCCCTGTCGCCAAATTGTTATGTTCTAGTTTCCCCGTCGCCAAATTGTTATGTACTCGTCGCTGAATTATTGTTATGGACTGGTCGAGAAACTAATAGTCCTGACGCGAGAAGGCGGAAATCAGAAGACCACTAGGTTTGCGATGATACTTCTATTGTCCAAACACAAGGAGACGAAAATAAATGGTCTCACACCAAAGTGGTATGCAAGTCAAGTAGTTGTAAAGTAAAGTAGTTCACACAAATTGAAATGCGAATATATATAAATAATTCAGACAAGCGTGGGAAGAATCATTAGACAGTCTTAACATGAATGGCTAATTATAATGGAGTGTCGATCCAATTATACATAGCGAATATAGCAGACATGCCAACAAACATATATGGATATATGTCACCAAGCAACGGACTGTCAACAAACACTCATATTATATATAATATAATATAAGGAGAATACACATTATTAAAGGAGACAAGTCCATACAAGTGAAGTGGTCACAGACTAACCGAACAACAGAAAGAGAGACCAACATGCACACACACACATAAATATATATATGTGGATACATATCACCTCCCCTTTTGAGAAGATGAATGATTAGTAGGATGTTTACCTGGGGGTTTATCTGGGACCTTTGGGCTTGTTGTTGACGCCTGTCGTTTCGTCTGATTGTTGGGTTTGCGGCTTCGGCTCCGTCCGGAATTGTCTAGCATTTTATGCTTCTTCACTGTATTGCGTAGAGAATTTAGTGGGACATCAGCCAGATGCAAACGATCGAACCAATCAAGTCCCAAAAGATTTAAATCATTCTTCGTGACGTAACAAATTCCTGTGAATTTGGTATTGCGGAAAGAAACAGAACATTTGAGTTCACCAACTAGTTTGAGCCGCCCACCACAGGCGCTGAGAAGAGACTGGGAAGTATTGGTGATAGGTGGTCTGCCAATATAATTCCAAAGTTTCTCTGATATAACAGTAATATCAGAGGCGGTATCTAGCTGCAGACGAGTATCATGACCATTCATCTGAAGGTCAATATATTTCCGCATAGCTGGTGTTGTGACTTGACAGGTTGCACGTAGACTCAGTGATCTTTTTGGAGATTTAGGACCAACATTTTGTTGAGCTTTTGCTGGATTTTGATATCTGGGTTTGCGTGGCTGACAAAAACCATTTTTATGACCGATGATTTTGCACTTGCTGCAACGATGATTTTTGTATGGGCAAGACTTTACAAAGTGCCACGCGCCACAATGCCAGCATGGTGATGGAGGGGTCTTCTTTGCAGTATTCTGTGAAGTTGGACGAGTATGTGTAGATTTACGCGGAACATTAGGAGAAGTAGGTGGGTCAGGAGTAGATGATGAGAGATTTTTGCTCTTTCGTAATGCACGAATATCAGAGCTTCTCGAAGGTGTTGATTCGACCAGGTGTGTGTCTTTCTGCAGATTAATCAGCCGTTGATATTCATCAGCTATGTCATGTAATGTTAACTTGGGATTTTGCTCTAGCTGATTGAGCAGTCGAGTTCGGATATCTGTGAAACGAGGAGATTGAAGACTGCATATGAGGATCAAGGCTTTGAATTGATCATCTGTTAAGGACCTGAGTCGAAATCTCTCACATTCTCGGTTGACTGTGCCAACATTAGTAAGAAAATCATCATTTTCATTCATTGTCAGCTTGAGGCAACGATAACGTATGCTGAATAATGAGGAGTGGTCTCCAAAATGTTCACTCAGTAGCTTTATTGTGTCATCAAAACACTTGTCACATGGTTTTTGGGGTAAAATTAGGTTGCAGTACCGTTCATATTCTGCCGGACCCAATTTACGTAGCAAAACTCGCACCTTCCAGGTATCGTCTTGCGAGGCGAGATCAACAGTGAATAAATCCTCATAACGTTGATACCATGTGTCAAAAGTGACATTAGCCTCTGGGTCATAATTGAACTGTGAAATGCTGTTCACAATTCCGTCGACAGATGGTAGCATGGTATGATTGGGATTGCTTGAAGGTGGAGCTGGACCAGTCTGTTGGTTGACGAACATTTCCATTAATTTCATTTGTCGTTCAAACAATAATTCCAATTTAATAGGATCCATAGTAAATTGTTATGTTGCTGCTGCTGTGTGGTTAATAGTAGTTTTTCCCCGTCGCCAAATTGTTATATACTAGTTTTCCCTGTCGCCAAATTGTTATGTTCTAGTTTCCCCGTCGCCAAATTGTTATGTACTCGTCGCTGAATTATTGTTATGGACTGGTCGAGAAACTAATAGTCCTGACGCGAGAAGGCGGAAATCAGAAGACCACTAGGTTTGCGATGATACTTCTATTGTCCAAACACAAGGAGACGAAAATAAATGGTCTCACACCAAAGTGGTATGCAAGTCAAGTAGTTGTAAAGTAAAGTAGTTCACACAAATTGAAATGCGAATATATATATAAATAATTCAGACAAGCGTGGGAAGAATCATTAGACAGTCTTAACATGAATGGCTAATTATAATGGAGTGTCGATCCAATTATACATAGCGAATATAGCAGACATGCCAACAAACATATATGGATATATGTCACCAAGCAACGGACTGTCAACAAACACTCATATTATATATAATATAATATAAGGAGAATACACATTATTAAAGGAGACAAGTCCATACAAGTGAAGTGGTCACAGACTAACCGAACAACAGAAAGAGAGACCAACATGCACACACACACATAAATATATATATGTGGATACATATCACAGTGGAATCAAAGATGCATGTTTCCCTGTGCATAGGAGATGTCTCTTGTGGAACAAGTGGTTTAGTGAGTAACGCTATGGCATTTGAAACGATGGGTGTTGTGTGCTGGTCTCAGTGGGAACACAACTTACTGGGGATTTCAAGTGCATCCAGATGCAGGTCCTAATGGGACAAAATGCGCGTGCTGAGTTCCACTGATAGTCATCATCCACCAAGTAACATGGGACTAAAAGTTTAAGTTACGTCTTGACCTGATGTATGATAGCGATATCACTTTTGTCCTGAGTCCGATACTATTTCACTACCATTTAAAACTGGAGTAAAGTTGGTCATACTACAATCACAAGCAGAAATTTCATCTTGTCTGAAACATTTTCAGAATGATGATTTGTGTTTACTAGATTTTAAATCCAGTTATTCAAAGTTTGCAAATTGTTCCCCCATAGTATTGTAACCAAACATTCGAATTTAAGTTTAACTACCAATCTACTGAGGAGTATGTGTGGACGCTAGCTGCAATTAAAGGACCCTATGGAGGTCTCAGATAAAGCTTCTTGTACTCAGAAGTGTAGTGTATGCTGGCATTATCAAGTGCACGCACTCTAAGTCGTGTCGTTTCGGAACTGCTATACCTACTACCATTCACTAATGACCATAAGTTAGGTTACTCTTTTTCTGGTACCTGACTTATCAAGTATTTGTTGTTCATTGTGTTTTTGAATGGTATTCTACATATATAAACTTATAAATTTTAAATGTAAGCAGTGACTGGAGAAGGGGTTTGAAACAATGACTAGTAGGATTACTTAAGATTCCGAAAATCAATACCATTGTGATCAATTTCGGACACTTCAGAGATTTTCAACTATTGGTTATAAACATCTTGAGGATTCCTGTCACATATTCACACTTTTTAACAACCTTCTAAGCAGCAGTCAAATATTTCACGGATTCATTGTCATCTTTTACTGGCCTATATGAGGAAATGGTTTTCCAATTATTATTGCAAATAATGGCTAATCTCGATCAGTTGAATAACACCGAATATAGGTATTAAATGTAGGTGTTAACTGTAACTCAGCTTTTTGCAGCAGATTTGGTACATTTCATACAAGAATAAAGTGCGTCAGTAGCACAGCGGTTAGGACCGACCATGCACATAGTCAGGGGTTCGATCCTCGGCCACTCACTCCTTTACCTCAATAAGCCAGAAATAATGTTGGTAAAGAGGGAAGGTTGGGCATGCAACCCCATCCTGTAAAAATAAACACTGCTACAGAGACTTCAAGCCACTAGCTTGAAGCCCTTTGTTCCACTGAGAACGTGAAGGAGAAAAATATAACAAAACTTGTGCACTGTGGTAGAGTATAATTCCATTATGGGTAAAATTTATTTTGATAAAGTCTCAGTGTTATACAGTAATATTTACTGATGACCTTTACTCTGAGTACCTTGATAAGATTATGAGCAATAAATTGTGCTCAAAGCGTCATCAGTAAATATTACTGCTTAACACTGTGAGACTTTATCAAAATAAATTTTACCCGTAATTGGTACATTTCAGTAGAACTCAACTGTAATTAGTGGGTTCTTAGCGAGAAACTTCAGTTCTGTAGTGAGTATGAAAACGCTAAGAAGTATAAATTGCATTTTAATAATGTAAGTTTCCTTATTGATGCATTTTATATCACTGATTTGCTTTGTATGTTTTTTTCCTTTCAATACAGATGGAAGTTAGTGTTCTGACATTTTCTACTCTTGGATTTAACTCATTTGGAGTTGGAAATTACTGCTGTACCAATCATTCCTTTGGCATTCGGTAATTATTTAGTAGACAGTTACTGCAAACAGTAGCATGTCAGACTGCTCAATTGTGCTTATTGGACCGAATCCACAATCAAATCTAGACCTTCAAGAGAATGTCTATACATTGGTTCAATTTCTCTTTGAAAAGCATCAAGAATTTGATCTTGAAGAGTCGTCAACAGAAACCTACCTACTACCAAAATATGAATTAACGCTAATTCGGCTTATTCTACGTGAATTTGAAAAACTTCAAGTTTGTTAAATTTGTATACCTTCTATTTCGTTAACTACAGATTCTTTTGAAAGAAGATCATTTGGAATTCTGGTTCAGAATTTGTCGTTATCGTCTTTACCGAGATCGGTCTCTTGTAAGCGATGATGAGTACGAATTTTGTCTTAGAGTTGAAGAATATCTTGTGTCCAACAACTTAGTAGATCGGGTTTTGATTGCACGTCGTCTGTTGGTGGAGTTTGTTGAGAACACCACATTAAAGCTTAAGCTATTTTATCCTCGATACATTGTTCAGTCAAATAAATTGAATTGGTTTGAGGTAAATCAAATTAATATTTACTAACGAAATGAGTAGTATTTAGTCGTAGAAATGTTGGCTGATTTCAAAGTACCACATCTTTCATTCGCATACCTTTCAACTACTGAATCTGATTTTTATTATTGTCATCAATGCAAGATAGATTTCAATGTAAGATACAAAGTAAGTTCCGTGTACTAATCATCTATAAAATATCTAGGAATGTGTCAATCTTGAAACACTGCTCAGTTATCTTGGACTTGCGGTTAATATTAAAGACTCTTTACGTCTGTTGAAGATATTCAACTTACCTTACAGAGGTTTGAATGAACACACTTTCACTACCCTTCGAAAAATAGCTCAGTGTGATAATCTGTCAGTTACTCAGGTCAGTTTTCGTTTGCTGTTAGTTTCTTTCCAAACTACTGACACAGCTGGCAGTTGAAGTAGGTGGCTGTGGAAACTTCGACGTTTATCGCCTTTATCATTTTTTATTATTTTTGTTATAATACTTCAAGAGCTTATATGTTGTATTGCTCTTCGAACTCTACTCTATCTGACTGATTTCAGTGTTCTGTGGAGGAGAGAAATCTGTCTGTCTGCTCATTCTTGCCATCAGTTAGGATACAGATATCTGGAAGGAATTTCTCATGTACTAGTGTGTCAGTAGCACTTTTTGTGTAAGGGCCGATTCGACTATGCAGTCAATCAGATCAAATTAGTCAGAGCGGGATTCCAACTACGTAACCGTTGAGTGTTTAATCTAATAACCTACGTCTCTGTTTCACTGTTGGCTGTGATTACTCCCTCCTAGTCAGGTACTTAAGTGTAATGAGATAACAGTTAAGGATTAAGCACTGCTAGTAGCAGGAGAGTTAGTCTATTGGCTGAAGCATTGGACTCATAGCCAATAAGTTCCATGTATAAATGCCACTTAACGTAATTCAGCCTGGCAGGTGGGTATCATCAGCCATCACACAATAAGTGTGGCTCATAGCTTGCCACATGAGAAGTCTGTTTTGCGCAACTGAGTTCAAATAACAGTTTCAGACTTTTGTCACACCTATATTCAGACACAGCGCGTAAAATTACTTCAAAAAGCATACCTTGAGCATCTTCCTTTTAAGTCTCAGAATATCTTTGCTGCCATACACCCTTAAACACCAAATTACATTCCGTGATTCAACTTGTTGTATCCTGATCTTTTTAGTACTAGGAAGTTGCCTTAGGTCGCTGTTTTGTCCAGTAGGAATCACTGGGCACGTGATTCACAACGGACATCATCACAGAACTGTTGATAAATTGTTTGTGGCACTCCGTATTGTTAAAGCAGTTTCCAAATTTCTTCGCGATCCAAGCTATCGAAAACCTTTTCATAGTCATTGAGGTGGAGGGTCGACTGCCATTCTATAGTCTGTGTAGCGTTGCAATTTGATCCATACGTAACTCGATTTTACTGAATCTCTCTTGTTCCAACCAGGGCATATTTTGTTCCCTCCAGGATCATGTGGCTCAATATTTTGTTTGGCGTGGGCAGGATTGTGATTCCGCGCCATCTTCTCAAAAGAAACAGTTACTGGGCTTTTACTTACCGTTTACGTCAAACGACATGAAATAGAATGTTCAAATATACACAGTATTCTTTTGTTAATGCAGTAAATAACCATGAGAAATGTATTCTAACTCTAGCATCAAATAGAATGTTCAAATAGATACATAACGTATACTGCTGTTACTACAGTACTTACTGGAAAGTATTCCGACCCTAGCAACAAACAGAATGTTCAAGTAGATATACCGTATTCTACTGATAATGCCGAATTGAACTGGGAATTTGTGAGAATAACATTCCATCGGCGCACATTGTCTGTATCACACCACCACAAATAGACTATCAGTTAAGTGCAGTCGAGTGAGCCAGTGAATGAATATGCAGATCGAAGGGACAAAGACGACAACATTCACAAGTTAGCCATTTGATTCAGTCATCTTAACTAACTAAGAAATGATAAAGGTCACTTTATAACGATGCCATCTGGCACCATATCGAAAGAATATTACGCCAAATAAGACACAGAAATAAACCAACAAAGATTAATTAACAATAAACTTAAATGTATTGCATTGACCAGTATTAAATTTTGGAATCCCATCTCGAATTGTCTATCTTTGCTACTGCGTATTTACCCTTTCTTAGCCGTGCCAACCGCCGAACGCCATCACTCATCCGGAGAGAGGAGTAAGATAGCGAATTCCGTTAGCCACACAAACGACTGAAACAGTCCCAGGGCAAACTCCCTGAGAAGGGTCTTCATCAATTTTCTAGTATTCACATCCCAGGATAACCTTGGTGCTCCACCTCAGGCTGGTAGGATTAGAAACATCTTCTCAGAGACATGCGCACTGAAGCCAACCAAACCTTGACTCATGGCCGAGATCCCAACCTCCAATCCACAGTCCCACGCATAAGACACTGTTCGAGACTGGCTTCGGCTAACAACTACACCTAGCTGCACTTCGCGGTTTGGGTTACCAGCTCTAACAGCCACCCACTAGCCAGTTGTTATTGGCCCTGGTTCTCTCGTTAGGAATCATCATATCTACTGGCCCCACCAATGCCCCGTACACCGCCATAAAGGCCGGAGGACGGCACCGCTACTTCAGGACCCTTTGCCAAATAGGACAACAAGCATCAATAGACAAGACTGCGGCATCCCGAGCCACTGATGTATGTTGTGTTTCAGAAACACACATACAAGACCAACTGTGGTTATTTACCTAACCCCACCTGGCCAACAGGATGAATCTGCAAAATTCACCCTGAGGGTGTCAGACGATGCCACAGCTAGTTCACGAGGATTAGCTGGTGTAGGGATAGCTTTGAGTACTAGGGCAGAAAAGACATTACTTGACTGGATCCCGGTAGATAGCCGAATGTGTGCTGTCCGTCTGAACGGATCAGTAAGAAGGAGAAAGGACTGCACTACTCGCCGATGCCTTTTCGTAATCTCCGCCTACGCCCCCACTGACTGGCAGTTTGGATGAAACGAAGGATGAGTTCTACCAAAAGCTGTCTAGTTTTCTGCGAAAGGCTAGACGCTCAGATATAGTCGTTCTAGCTGGTGACTTTAATGCTCAAGTAAGGAAACTGTGTCAATCTGAGAAGGTTATCGGTGGCACCTATGGAAACCCGTGCCAGCGAACCGACAACGGTGACCGTCTCCTACAGTTCTGTTCAGATAATCATCTGTTTCTTGTAAGCACTAACTCCAAACACAAGGAGAGACACTGTTTGACCTGGCGACCCCCTTCATCAAACTAACGCTGGACACAAATAAACCACATAGCAATAAGCCATCGTTGGCGTGGGTCAGTAGGAGATTGTCGCTCCTTCTGGAACACGTGTGTAGATACCGATCACGCACTGGTTCGGGCTCGTGTGTGCTTACGACTGAACGGACGTAGGAAACAGCTGGCGGTTAACCCATCCCGTCCCCAGCTGGATCTGGAAACTAAATCCCTATTTGAGGAAGAAATGGCTAAACACATATCTGAGTTCGACAGCCGTACTCACCCTGAAGAAGCTTGGAAAAATATTCGGGCATCCTTAGATACAGCTGTAAAAGCTGTGAATAAGGTAAATCCAAAGGTGAGTAAAAACCATTGGATTTCGACTGCCTCATCCGAACTGAAAGATGCTAGAAGACTTATTCCGGCGAGCTCCGAATTCAATGAGGAGCGAAAGCTGCACAAAAGGAAACTTACGAAAAGTCTCCGTAAGGAACGTGAACAATGGTGGGTGACAAAGGCGAAAGAGATGGAAAAAGCATCGGCGGTAGGCAACACCAGGCAACTCTTTCGACTCATCAGGGAAACGGGTGGGAGAAGACAAATCATAAGTGAAACAATCTCGGAGAAAAATGGCACCATAATTAGCTCCCAGGATAGACGACTGGAACGCTGGAAAGAGCACTATGAGGAGCAGCATAATTGGCCCACAGCCACGCTCAACCTGCCGAACATCCAACACCTCCCTGAACGGGATATAGACAGGTCCTCCGTCCCTAACTGAGGTTACTAAAGCTGTCACTAGTCTGAAACAAGGAAAAGCTGCTGGACCTGATGAAATGACCCCAGAGGTATTTAAGTACGGTAGAGACAGTTTGCTGTTTGCATTAACTGAGGTTCTAAGCAGCGTTTGGAAATCAGAGGAAGTCCCATCGGCTGGTGTAAGTCACTGATTATCCCCATATACAAGAAGGGAGACAAGTCTTCCTGTGATAATCACAGAGAGATTAGCTTGACTAATATAGTATCTAAAGTCCTAGGCTCAATAATCATGCGTAGACTAAGTGGTGCTAGGGAGGCACAAACACGAGAAAGCCAGGCATACGTTAGACCAGGAAGAGGGTGTATTCATCATATCTTCACCCTCCGACAGATCCCAGAACATAGGCATCCTTACCGGCGTCCAACAATCATCATATTTCTTGACCTAAAGGCGGAATTCGATTCTGTCGACCGAGAGGTTCGCTGGCGATGCTTGGCTGTAAAGGGAATGCCGAGAAAATACATTGCACTGATTAAGGCACTCTGCTTGTACTCATACAGCTAGGTGAGGGCTTACGGCGAGTTGTCATCTGAACTGGTGACAACTAGTGGTGTCCGTCAAGGATGCCCATTATTCCCATTTCTATACAACTTCATCATAGATGTACTGATGGACTTAACCCTGACTCACTTCAGCGACTCAGGGATTGACTCGCTACCAGGGAATAATCTCGTTGACTTAGAATATGCAGACGATATAGTCCTTCTAGGCGAGGACGCTGACAAAATGCAGAGTCTTCTAAACATCTTGAGCTGTAATCTACGAGTGTTTGGTATGCGATTCGCTCGCGCCAAATGCAAGATGATGTTACAAGACTGGACTACACCGACTCCGTGATTAGAAATAGGAAGTGAATTGGTAGACAACGTTGACCGCTTCACTTATTTGGGGAGTCAAATCAGCTCCAACGGGTTGATCTCGGAAGAAATCTCAGCACAGATACAGAAGGCTAGTTTCACATATGCCAGTTTAAGCCGTCCCTAGCGTGGACGTGATATCTGGCTGGCTATCCACCAAAGGGCGTGTGTACTGCTCATCAGTCCGCTCCGTCCTCCTTTATGGCTGTGAGACCTGGCCACTGAGAGTGGAAGACACGAAAATATTAGCTGTCTTTGATCATAAGTGCCTGCGTTCTATCTCCCGTGTGAAGTGGTATAATAAGGTGAGCAATATTGAGATTAGGCGTCGAGTTCTAGGTAAGCAGGGGAAATCAATCGATGAGGTTGTGAAGTTACATAGACTGAGATGGTTAGGACATGTGTTATGTATGCCTAGTC